GGGGGTGGGGGGTGTGGGGGGTGCGGGAAGAGACTGGACAAAAATCGTACACCTATGGATGAGGACATGGGGTGGGGGGGTGGATAAGGCCAGAGTTGGGTGGGAACTGGGTGGAGGGGAGTTATGGTGAGAAAAAAGAGTAACTAATGTAATAATCTGAACAATAAAGATTTAATAAAAAAATAAAAAAATAATAACTTGGACATCAAATTAGCAGCAACTGCCCTAACCGGTTTGGCTCACTGGACAGAGCATCAGCCTGTGGACTGAAGGGTCCCAGGTTTGATTCCGGGCAAGGGCATGTACCTTGGTTGCGGGCACATCCCCAGTAGGGAATGTGCAGGAGGCAGCTGATTGATGTTTCTCTCTCATCGATGTTTCTAACTCTCTCTCCCTCTCTACTCCTCTCTGTAAAAAAAAAAAATCAATAAAAAATATTTTTTTAAAAAATTAGCAGCAACTAGTGATTAACTGGGTGTGGGATGAGGAAGAAGTTGGCCTTCATGGTTGGTGGTGCCAGCAAGCAAGATGGCAAATACAGAAAAAGCCTGTCTGTTTAGGCGCAGCGGTGATGGTGGTGAAGTGCACAGTGGAAAAAGGATGTATCGTTTTTGGAATGTTGAGGAGAAGGTACCCATGGAACATTCAAATGGAGATATCTCATTGGAAGTTCTGGGAAAGGAGCTAACATTTACAAGTCATTAACATATGAGTAGAAGCTAAGTGGGTGGACACTGAAAGTGCCCAGGCAGAATACAAAGAAAAGTGAGCCAGTGACAGACCCAATTTTTAAAAAAAAGCATTTAAGGGAGCAGGTGGAGCAAGTCCAAGGAGACTTTAATTCAGTGGTCGCCAACCTTTCTGACCTCACAGATCACCAGTGGTCGGCAGACCACCGGGTGGCGACCGATGCTTTAGTTGGACACTAAAAGCAAAACATGGTGATATATCGTCCTTCCATAGTGGGATGAACAGTTCTTAGAATCTCTGTTCTTGATCTTTTGTACTTTTAAGGATCATTGAAATCTACTGTTTTGCAATATCTCTTGACCAGAAAAACAATTCTGCCTAGCACTATTATTAATTAATCTCATCTGAAAGATTTAATTTCTGCCCTCTGAAGTCCTACAGATAACCCTTCAAAGTCTGAAGGCAGCTAATGTGACTCAACTCAGGTCTCTCTCCCGGCTTAAACATTCTCAATTCCTTCAACATAGTTCCCATATGACGATTTTCAGCCTCTGGAATCTCCTCTCTTGGGAACACTGCAATTTGTCAACTTGTCCACAAATGTAGCAAGACTCCTCTGGCAGTATTCTAACTTGTGCACAGTAAACCATAGGTATCTTCCTCGCTTTGGAGACTATTATTTCCAGTAACGTAGCCTAAAATTAAATTGTTTATGAGCAGCCATATTACATTGTTGGCTATTGGAATGTATAGTTAAGTGCACTGCCCTGCTCACAATATAAACATATAACCAATTCTCCCTCCTCCAGTCTGTACTTCTACAACTGGTTTTTATTTAGCCTAATTGTAGGTTTCACATTTTTGCTCATTTTTCTTTCACTCATATGAAAGCTTTCTTCTTGTTCCTTTCATCTTGGGGCAGGAAATGGCCTGGACACCTGATACAAAATTGTAGACAAACACATAGCAACCATCAGATGAGGGTGAATGTCAAGAATGATCCCTCATGCCCTAGCTGGTTTGCTCAGTGGATAAAGCATCGGCCTGCAGACTGACGGGTCTCAGGTTCTGTTTTTTCCCTTTTCTTTCCTCAGGTTCAATTCTGGTCAAGGGCACATACCTGGTTCCTCCGTTGCAGGCTTGATCCTCGTCCCAGCCAGGGCATGTGAGGGAGGCAACCAAAGGATGTGTTTCTGTCTCTCCCCATCCCTTCCACTCTCTTAAAGATCATTGGAAATATATTTTCAGGTGAGGATTAAAAAAAAAAAAGGACCCTCATGGAATTCCAAACCTATGGTCAATGTTTTGATCCAACTACAGGCTTCTGTCTTCAAATTTCAAGTTTAACAAGAAAATCGATTAAAGGTGGGTGTCTTTCTGATTGGTTAATTCTCATTTTTAATTGCCTATTTATGATTAGAACTGTTTTTCCGTTTTCTTCTGAGATCTCTAGGTGATGAAAAGTTTCTGTTCCTTCAGTGGAAGTGGACAGAGACTCAGTTATCCCTGAGGATTTTCTCAGGCAAATGTGAAACAAATGGAAAGAAAAAATTTCTCAAAGCTTAGGGGAGATGTGGCAGAGAAGCCAACCTCAAAAAGTCAGGTAGCATTGCCACATGGATCCTCCAGCTGGAGGCTGAGGAGGTGAACTCAGGAAGGAGGCCATCTGCTTAGTTCTGGGCTTTCTCCAACATTGTTCTTCCCTAAAGAGCAAAGGTTCCGTGTCCATTCTTTGTGAAGTCAAGATATTAGATTGGTTCTCGAGTGTCCGTGTCCTTGAGTGTCTCTCCGCTTGTGCACTATTAATGGATAGGGGCTTCCTGTTCCATCCAGTGTGATTGCTGGAGCCACTGCTTGGATGTGGATCCTGGCTCCACCCTTTACTACGACCGTGGCCTTCTGGAACGTTAGATTGTCTGTAAAATGCAGTGAATAACAGTGTATCTCAGGGTTGTGAGGGGGAAAAATAAGTATCAACTCGTTTTAGAAAAGTGCTAAGCATATTTTATGTATTCCATTAGTGGTAGTTACTATTCTTTAAAAAATGTTTTTAATTTCAGAGAGGGAGCGATAGAAACATCAACTGGCTGCCTACTGGGAATTGAGACCACAACCTGGGCATGTATCCTGACCTGGAATCGAACTGGCAACCTCCTGGTGCATGGGATAATGCGCTACTCAACCAACTGGGCCACACAAGCCAGGCAATAGATACTATTTCTTTAGTATTACTTGGTCTGAAATCAGTTTTGATACAGGTATAGGTCCTGCTTGTTTGGTCTCCCCTGTATATATAAACCAGAGCTGAGTTATTGCATGTAGATGGGTAAGAGTGTTAAGGTTGTAGGAAACATAGTAGAAAACAACTGTTATGGAACCAAATGTGTACTGATTGGGAAGACGAGGCAATTTCTTCCTGCATACTTTATTCATATATGCTAAATCTCTCTAAACACATAACCCCATCAGGGAAAATAGCTAGGGCTGTTAGGGTAATCCCTGTTTCTTGCCTTGTTTTGCACCAGGTAAATAAACAGCCAGGAATAAGATTGGGGACAAGGAGGTAATGGGTAAGGATGGCACAGAGCAGAGTGTAGCAAGCAGTTCACAGTGAGGCAAGCAGGTAGGCAACAGCATTTCTAGCCAATCAACATTTTATTTTTCCAATCAACACCTGCACAGATGTTACTGTCCACTTCCTCACACTAGTAGGGGGTCCTACCACACTTGAACTACTCTTGGCCCAGCGGAGCAGGTCTCCTTTTCTTCCCTGGGACAGTAAGAAGCCCCTCTTCCCAACAAGACAGAGCCTGCTCACTAACACAGTGCTGTACACGTGCTGTGGGATCCCTGCTCTGCTCCTGTATCTTAAAAGGCCGGGACGAACTAGGCCAAGGGTGCAGTGGAGGTTCCACAGGCTACAGTAACCTAAGTGCTCAACTGCTGGCCTGACCCACCACCCCAGGTTTAGTCTGTACCTCCCAGACAGGAGCCTCCTTAAGTTTAGCCAGGGAGGTGGAGCTGGCAGAGTGGGGACTGAGCTGCTAAAGACAAGACACAGCAGGGGAATAAAGCAGAGAGGAGCACAGGACAGGAAAGAAAAATGACAAAGTGTCTAAACGAGCGGGACACGAGGACAGACGGCACAGGTCCCTGAGGATAGGAGGAAACATAAAGAGAGAGACCACTAGGGTTTAGGGCAGAGTGGAATGAGAATAGAGATGAGGCAGGGAGGCAAGTGCAGGCTGTGGGAAGAACTTCCCTAGCCCTGTTCACATCCACTAACCCAAATGTAAAATTATTTACAAACTTAAAACCAATCCCAGGCACTGTAAGCAGGCCTGGGACAACAGGCAGGCAGGTGGGCAGAAAGTGAACTAGCTATCACCTGACAGCCAGCTTCCCCACGTACTGTCGCTCCTAATAGTAGAGAAAGGAGAAAAGTGACAGCCCCAGCCAGAAAGCCTCATTACTGTGCCTGAAATTTCTTCCATGGCTCATGGCTCTGCCATGGTCTCAGCTTCTTGGTCTGACTGTAGCAGAGAAAGGGTGTTGGGCCCTAGGGGTGGAGCATCAGGGGGCTCTGGAGATGTCTCTGGCCCCAACCCCAGCTCTGCATTCAGCTGCTCCAGCTCCCCCTGATCCAGCAACTCGAAGTCCTCAGAGGCAAGTGCCTCTTCTTCCTCAGGGGCAGGCAGGGGCTGGGGAGAGTCCTGGGGAAGAGGTGGGAGCACTGGGAGGGAAGGGACTGGGTCACTTTCAGCAAGGCAAAGTAGAGGTGACAGGGTGCTCGAGGGCGTGGCGGGGTCACCACTCACTGCCTCTGGGCTCAGTGTCTCTACTGGTCCTCCAGGGGAGAGCTTTACTTCATCCGTGGGAGAGCCTGCCCCATTGAAGTGCGTGTTCACAAAGTGAAGGGGGGATGAGAGCCGAAGCAAGGTTTCCTTGGCTGCCACAACTTCCTCCTCCTCCCTTTCCTCCTCCTGTTCCTCCTCCTCCGAGTCCAGGTCTTGCCTTGAGAGGACCTCAGGGGGGCCCAGCAGGTTTTCGGGAGCGGCCATCTCTGTCTCCTCTCCCTCCCCCAGCTCCCGGCTCAGGGCTTCCTCTGGCTCACTTGGCAGGCTCTGCTGGTCCAAATCTGTGCAGAAAACAAAGGGTTAGGAATGGGCCCGCTATTCTGAATGGCCATAATAGGCCAATATGTTCAAGACTGAGAACTTGGGCCCCAGCCAGTTTGGCTCAGTGGATAGAGGGGTCTTGGGTTTGATTCCAGCCAAGGGCATATGCCCAGTTGCGGGCTCAATCCCCAGTAGGGGGTGTGCAGGAGGCACCTGATCAGTGATTCTCTCATCATTGAGGTTTCTACCGCTCTCTCCCTCTCCCTTCCTCTCTGAAATCAATTAAAAAAATATTTAAAAACAAAACAAAAAAAGAATGAGAGGTCGGGACATGGAATGCTGGGCTAGGCCTAAGGTGTTAAAGTCTTTCAGGATCTTGAGGTAGAATTAGAGGGTCAAATTTCCAAAGAAAACAGTTATGGGGCAACAATTAGAGAGCACGATCAGTATCTCACAAAAGGGAACAGGAAGATCGGGAGGGGCAAAGGATTGCCCATACCTTCAGAAACATCAGTTAGTTGTGGAGTTGTGGCCCGGGATACTGAGAAGCCACCACTCTCCAAGATAGATGCCTCCTCATCTGACAGCTCTGAGTCTGTAATGGCCAAAGCCAGTGCTGTTTTCTTCACATCCACCTGCAGGAGAACCAAGATGAACACAACAGATAAGAGGATAAGAGAACCAGTTTTCTAGGAGCACCCCCTTACCAACTCCCACCCCTTGAGAGGTATCTGCTCTAGACCAGAGATTCCCCTCAACCTTCTACTTGATAACCCATCTCCTTTGGATCTCACCACCGGGGAGAAGCCAGCCAGTTCTGCCTCGCTTTCACTCTCTGTGTCTGCCAGTGGCTCATCACTTCCGGGGAGTGCGTTCTTCCCTTGCCGCTCTACAGAAGCAAGAGCACCACGATACTCACCAAGCAGGGACAGTAGTGGGGGGCAAACCTGGCCAAGGGACTGGAGAATATCTAAATTCTACAGTGTTTTATGAGCCATAAGCCAAGGCCCTCCCTGCACCCCCCGCCCCCCACCGGGTTACAGGAGCCCCTTACTCCTCTTGTCGTGTTTGTGATGCAGGGTGTCAGCTTCTGCCTTCATGCTATAGTCCAGCTGCATGAGCAGGGGCTCGAGGCGAGTGTACATCCTCTGGATCAGCTCATGATAAACCACCAGGGGCCACAGCAGGATACTCAGCACTAGAGGATAGAGCACCCACTCAGAGCTCCCTATGCTTATTTCCTAAGGGCCCTTATTCAACTGGTCCATGAACAGAAAGGGCTAAAGGAAGACAAGGTCCTTTCCTGAGGCTGTATCCCCTGCCCTCCTCCCCGATGACTCCTCCACTGTTACTAATACTATAGCAGCCCTTGGGAATCTCTATAAATGGGCAATTGAGCAGAGAGAGAGCACAGTCCTCCCTGTAGGTCGGTCCAGGGAAAGATGATGAGAGGGCTTTGGGAAGGGCATGGTTAGACTCTACTCACAGACAATGTAGGAAATCATAATCCCTGGAACATAGTGTCCCAGCACAGCCAACACAGCACAGCCAGAGCAGACTCGAGCACAGAACTGTGGAGAAGAGCACAGGGTCAAAGGACTGACTTGGGCTGAGGTATGTGCCCCACTCATTTGGGCAAGAAATCACTGCTCAGCTGGTGAGAGGAGGGGTATGTCCTCTAGGAATATGGTGATTCAGTCTAGTCAAGAGGATGCCCAAGACCACCACCTGGTCAGGAAGTCTGCATTAGTTGCCACCAAACACCTGTAATTCAAACTGGTCTGCCTTGCAGGAAAGCGTCAGAACATCAGCTTATTCCTCGAGACAAGACTGCCTCCTGTACTAGGCTACCAGCTGTGAGTGTTCCTCAAGTAGACACTGGGTCTCTTCC